TTCTTTATGTCCTAATGCTTTTGGATTTAGTAAAGTGTGTGCTATATTTTTCGGTTACGACACACTTGTTCCATTAATTTATTTATATTAGCATCATATTTTCATTTTTTTTTCTGATTACAGCACTGTATTTTGAAATATTTTCTCATTTGGGTAGATTTTTCAAAGTACATTGCCTTAAGAAATATAACTGTTACTCTTATTTGGAATGCTATGCTTCTGGATTGAATTTCAAAGTAGATTCACAATTATAAAAGTCCCTGTGCAGAATTTTTTCTACAACAAATGGTTCACATGTTAAAAAAAATTAGATAAACTGTGCAGAACTGTATAACTTTTACAAACAAGATTCGAATTACGAACAAATTCCAAACCCCCCCAAAGCAGACATTGGAACCTCTGAGTTTTGCAACCCGAATTGGAAATTACAGGTAATTGCTGGTTGTTAATACTAAGTAATGGGATTTAACATTTAACTTAGGTAAGGTATAATTTAATGTAACAATGTGATTCGATGAATTGAACATTGATTTACTCATGCACAGATAAGGCCTTTGGAAACATAAAGTGTATATTATTATATACTCATAAAGAAAAGAAAGGTATATGAATGGATAATCGTTCTAGCACTATATTTCCTAGAAAATTTGTCCATCCTAAGTATATTTGTCAAATGTGTATAAAAAAAATAATTGATTAAATGTGTACAACTGCAAAACTTCATTACTCTCACAAGTTTAATTGTTGACGGTGAAGTGGTTGGAAACCAGGGTAACCTTTAATTACAGATCATAATGGTACTTTTTTTAATACTTTAAGTAAGTTTAATGGTCACATGTGTACAAAAATAACTGACTAAATGTGAACAAATGTGATAGATGGTTACCCTCATAACACATTTTCCCTTTTTATTATATACCCTTAATGGTTATTATTAATTTTTTGTTAAAAAAAAACTTTCTTAAATATAATTAGAAAATATAAACTTTTTATGATGCCTTATTTCACACAACACTAGAAAATGGCCACCCGTGGTGTTGGTGGCAATTTTATTGATAACTGGGACTTAAAAACCCATGCCAATTACAAAAATGAAACATGGTTTTACATGACTATCTATGTTCTTCTTTTTTTCAAATTTGCAATGAACACCACCACCTTCACATAAACCCAATCTTTGAAGCTATCAAGAAATATAAAAAACGCATATCTTCCACGACGGTTGAGGAGTAAAGCACCACATGTTATACAAAATCGAACAGTGAAACCAATGGCCCCACCAATATGTTACCAGTCAGCCCCTCCTCTACAAAATCTTCTCATCTTAGGTCCGGAACTTACCCTTTAGTCCCTGCTTCCATAAATCCTTACAAATTATGTCCCAAAATTACACTTTAACCCCTGTAGATTCAAATCTTGACATTTGACTTCCCGAAACCAACTTCCAACGAATTATGATTTGGACAATAATAATATAAAATAATAATAATAATTACTTCTCAGGGTTTCGGGTTTATCATTTAAATGTTTTATTTAAAACGGAATGTTACAGATACAAATGATAAATACAATTAACAAAGTAAATAACCAAAATGACCTTTTGGTAAAGCGAAACTCACAGAATATATCCTATCTAACCATGGGGTAAACCCATTGGAACAATTAAAGATGATGTATGAAATGAAGTAAGTTAAGCATTTTAACAAACAATTTGTGTGCAAAAAATTTTGTGCTTAAAGGAAATTTCATGTAAAATCACTTCTTTGCCTACTGTGATAACAATCACATGAGGAAGTAAGTAATAAAAATCAAATCCTAAAACTATAGTTGCTAGTTTATCAGGGTGGGAATCAAAGAGCTTACCGGAGTTGAGGATACGCCAGATGCACGGCGACTTTAATGGTGGACGAAAAAGGGAGAGCATCGGGCGCAGATGGTGAACGGAGGAGTGAGAGATGCATATTAGGAAATGATTCACGTGTTGCCGAATTTCTTGTGTGTTTAGAAATGATATCCAACTTAAAACATCAACAATCCCAATGTATTGGAAAATGCCATACGAATGCCACGTATCCATGAAGCCGAAGATGGAAAATTGACAAAACTAAAAACCATGTTTTGTTCATCGGCGGAAGCAAAACCACCTAACTCATGCCAAACCTTCCAAGCCGTGAGCTCCAAACTTATAACTATTCATAAGTCGTATCCACACTTAATATGTTACTAGTTGTGAGAACTGTATATTATACGGGTTAATTAAAACAAAATGTTAAGTACGAACGATTAAATAGAAATTTTATTTGAATTTGAAATTGAAATAAGTGAAAATTATGTGAAAAAAAACATGCAAAAAATAAATTAATTAAAATTATGTGTTTAGTGTAGTAACCGAGTTAATTATGATAAAATGTTAAACATAAAGGTTTAAACTGTAAATTTATTTGAAATTGAATTTAAAATTTAAAATTTAAAATTAATAGTAATTATGATAGGTTTAATTTATGGAAACTAAATTAATGATAGATTGAAAATGAAAATTGAAGCAATGATAAATGGAAAATAAATATATATCTCAAAATTATGACAAAATTACATGTGGCTAATTTTATGAGAGAATGACATGTGGTAAAGTCATTTTCATTTATTAGGGTAGAGATATAATATCCTACAAATTGTAAGCACAAGACTAAACTGCAAATTTGGTCCCTGTGGTTATCAAGAAAATATGGACATGGTCTAAAATTTTTTCAACTTGCACCATTGGTCCAAAATTGAATTCTTTTTGTGGTTTTGGTCCCGAGAAAAGTTGAAATGACCTTTTTGCCCTTTTACTTTTATTTTTGAATTTCTTTACTATTTTTTTAACATTTAAAAAAAGAAAAAGAAAAAATAAAGTGGTCAATATTCTACCCACCCGTAACCCTGCTCTCTTTTTTACATTCTTCATCTCTTTAAACCCCCTCCCCCTCCCGACATTCTCATTCCTACCACCACTATTGTTGTCTTCATCCCTTGGCTTTGTCTATGTTAAACACATTAACCTGCAAAACTTACCTATGTTCTTTACGTTCTTCACAACCATTAATCAAATATCAAAACACAAAAAACACTTCACATGTAGATACACCTACCTGCAACTTAGAAAAAACCTACCCTGCCCTCTCCCTCTCTCTCTCTCTCTCTCTCTCTCTCTCTCTCTGATCTGCAAAATCCCTTTTACAACACAATTAATATGATCGATGACTACACCAAAATATCATGGAACGGTGGGAGGTTAATCTAAACCATCCATGTTAGAATCCAACCTGTAACATTTTTCGTAGCTATTCAACCTCTCCGAAAAAAGGTAGAAACTGGTCTCTAAGATATGAAGCACAAAAAAAACTATGAGATGTATCAGAACAATGGGGAAGAAGTAAACAAACTGATTCCCACCCCCAGTCTGTTCCTGTCTCTGCCTCCTCCATTCACTCCTCTACTCTCTCGTTGTTGGTTACCCAAACACCAACAACCAAATGAACATAGTTAGTTCCTCACGAATCCCCAAATTGAAGATGTCGCACATAACCTAATCAAGTAAAAATGAGATTTCTTCAACGGAGATAATAGTTGAAGCAAGCCCCACTTCTAATGAACATAATGAAGAAACCCAAAATAGAAAAATTAGTTTTTTTTGTCAACAACTTCTCAAGCATTGGAACTGATCAAGATGCAGGTCCTAAAGTAGAAACAATCTTCGTTTTCGGCCTCTACATACCTACTAGTTGCGGGCTCTAGTCAATCGTCATTTGATCCATATTCTTTTTGATCGATTGGCTCTGTTATATTCTCCTTGGAAAACACCACCAACTCCTCATTTGCATCATGTACATCCCTTGGGGACAACGAAATGGGTCGGTGCTGGAATCTCAGCTTTCTTGTTGGTTTTGGTTTTAGTGTGTTTTGGTTTTTGATTAGGTGAAGAAGTGGTGAAGTGAAGGAGTTCGATGGGTATCATGTTCCAAATTAGGGATACAAGGTAGAAAAAATGGGATAAATAAGAGAGAGTGAGAGAGAGAGAGAGAGAGATACTGATAAGGGTACATATGGTGTGGGTGGCCCACTTTCTTTTTTCTTTTTCATTTTTTCAAATATTAAAAAAAAAGTAAAGAAATTCAAAAAATAAAATTGAAAGGGCAAAAAAGTTAATTCAACTTTTCGAGGGATTAAAACCACAAAAAGAATTTGATTTTGAACCAATGGTGCAAGTTGAAAATTTTTTGGATTCTATCCACATTTTTTTGATAACCACAGGAACCAAAGTTGCAATTTAGTATAAGCACAACTGACCACTCTTACAAATTTAATATAATATATATCATTTTATAATTTTGTATTAAACTATTATGAAAGTGGTTACTTATTTAAAAGTTTGTAGAAATCACTCGATCTAGGCTAATTGGTGGACTGGGGTCAATGGTTAATCGGTTAGACGGGGATTAATTGGAGACCATTAAGTATTAAAAAAATTATTAAAAATTAATAAATATTACATTAATGCTAAGAATATAAGTAAACAAGTTAACAAATAATAAATATGTACTACATAATTTAGTTTTATTTTCAATTTGGCATGCTAGCTAGAAGCTTGATTATCACGAATGTCATAAACACCATAAGAACCACATAATCCATATCGATCACAATTATCCATTTGTGCACTTAAAATCAGGTGTTTCTACTTCCACGGATATCAAAGCAGTGTGTGCTTTCCCAACCCAATTGAATGAACACAACATAGTTCTTGATAGCGAACTAAAAGCATAGACCATGCAAATAATTGAAAACTATGATGAAGCAGACATTAAAAATCGATAATAGATAGAAATGTAATTAACCAAGATCAAGCAAACATTAAAAATATGAGATCAAGCAGACATTACATACCTTGAGTAAGCCTTGAGTAATTGACCATTCCCAAACGGTGTCTGATGTTGTAAAATTCCTTTAAACCATCAACAATGTTGGTTGGTTGCAACATTATATTCTACAATTGTCGAGCACCCTTGTGATATTACCTTTTTAACCTTTTTCTAAAGTTCTAACTTCCTAAAAAGCATCATCTCCCTTTCTTCAACTTCAACGTCATCAGAAGAGCTAACACTAATATAAGGATTATTAGGCTTAATGACTTGTACCCCGTCCTCTGAATCAACTAGCTTCCCATCTTCTTCATCCACAACTTCATCTACATCGTTTTCTAGCCCAATTTCTCTATTTCATTCCTTTTATTCTTGAACTCCATTGCAGGTTTGCATCGCTAGTCAGTGTCATCTGAATGAAAAGAAAGAATTATCTTCAAAAGGTCGGTCCGCCTTCCAAGTGTTTGATGAAATGTCTGAAAGAAGTGAATACTGATTGCTAAGAATAAATTTGTTTCATGTGTTTGATCTTGATTTCTAATTCTTCATTTTTCTTCTGACCTTACTATATGATCTTGTTTTGAGTAATTGATCACAAAATGTTATGTCCAACTACATATCAGTCTTCTGTTGTGCTCCTATTAATGATACCATTTGAGAACATCTTTTTCAAAATAGTTCATCGCAACCTCCTAACTTTCATCACTGGACAATCGATTTAGGGAAAAAATTTGGTTTTGGTTCTTGAATTGCCCTCTGTTTCTTGATCTTTATCCATCTTCAAATGTTAATCTATTTATTTTATTTGATTCTTCTTGAAATAGCACAACTGACATATTTTCCTCTTCCAGGTACCCCATATTTTGTTCTTGCTGATAATTTTTTAAGAGATGAAGGTTTTGTTTCACTCTTTTAGGATTTGTTCCTTTTTTCATCTTCTTCCTAAACATCAGCTGACTAAAGAAACTTGGATGCACTGCTCTTAGTTATATCAAAATATGTATTATTTTTTGTTTAAGAGGCTTATAAGGTAAAGCTGACTAAAAAAATTACTTAACAAGTGACATTAATAGCAAAAGATGAAGATGAAAGTACATACATGGGGTAGTGTTCTGTGGCCTGTGTGTATGTGTGTGTTTTAATTAGGGGAAAAAAATTGTTTTTATTAAGAAAACATGCTTCAAAAAGAAAACATGAAACCAGGATGCTAAAAATAGGGTCAATTGAAGTACATGCTATTTCCAGCATATTCTCTTTGACTTTGAACTATGTTTTAAATTCAAAATGCATGGTACCTTTGAACAAAACAAAAAAAAAAGGTTTAATTGTAAAGGATAAAATAAAAAGGTTGGATTTTAACATAGACATTTATGTTGTGATCGTTTGAGGGGTGACAATTAACTTTTGTCCAACCAGAGTTTAACCAACTCATCTTCAAAGGGCAATATAACATACTCACTGCAAATTCGTTTCTGGACTTCAGACATACACTTAAGTAGGTTTATTCTCACTACTGGAAAACAGGTAATTTAATACACACAAATGAAGAAATCTAATACGCTTAATTAGGTGTACTAGATAATTTTACCAATTAAAATTTGTATTTTTACAATTATTAACAAACTTTAGCCTTTGCATCAACCAGAATGTTTAACAAAACATGTTCATTTGACGCAACATCAAAATTGAATTGACCGTTCATTTGTATTTTTCCCATTTTGCCCCTGTAGATCGCCTTCACTCTTTTCTGGTCAAGCGGCTTACTTATCAAAGCATCGATGAACGACAACATCAACTGCAAAATTGATCACTCTCTCTCTCTCTCTCTCTTTCTCTCTCTCTCTCTCTCTCTCTCTCTCTCTCTCTCTCTCTCTCTCTCTCTCTCTCGCACACACACTCGATTGCTCAATCGATCGACATACTACGTCGCCTCTCTTCACTGGGGAGCACCTCTTCAAAACTCATCGTCAATCCAGCTAATTCAGTGTCTCTTCATCGCCGATTCAAAATTGATTTCAGATTTAAATTCGCCGGGTCTTCAGTATTGAACAACCAGGTGTTCTTTCTAATAAGTTGTTTAATTAATGTCACAATACATTAGCAATTGATAGAGTTAATTCCGTGTTCAAACTGTTCATTCTATTGCATATTTGGTCATTTGATTTCCGTTTATTGGAGTACATTGACAACTGTATATGCATGAAACTTACGTTTCTTCATCTGGTTCGTTCTTTGCAGCTCAAGTTCCTCACCCTCATCTCCAACCTTCATCAGAGAACCTTCCGTAACTATTTCCCATGGCGTCTGCTTCTCTCTGCACATTTCAATAACGATTCCGATCTCCTCAGCTTCAAATCCCCTCTCCTTTAGCAACATTTCTTCAATTGGATTTTCTGAGAGAAAGAAGGTGTTCATTCTTAACTTTGTTCCTAATTTTTTGATTTTCTTAGCATCATTTTACATAACCAGTTGAAAATTTTGGGTTTTAGCTACATGTTTTCACTATGGTTTGAATATAACCTGTCTTTTTATAAAATGAAATAATTAACTGAAACAAACAAACTGATGCCAAACCGAGATTAGTATGAATCTACATATCTGCTAGATAATAATAATTGATTATATTGATTACAAACGAGAGTATTCTCATTCTAATGATTTTCAATGGATAATGAGATTGGTGTTACATCTGCCACTAACTTTGATATCCTTATCCGCTTTGATTAATGTTAAAATTGTTAAAATGGAGATTGTTGTTGGTAATGTGGTATAGACCCCTTGTAATTAACTTTGTTTATCTTAGTGCATAACTAAAATTTGACTGTAGATTTCAACATTCTAGAACTGAATGATAGCTATGGTTTCTTGAATAGTGCAGGAGCATCCAAAATAATCGGAGTTTTGTTCATAGAATCATGTGTTCATCAAAAGAGCCACCCGCAGAAACAGGGCTCACATCAAAAGCATTTGAATCACTAAAGATTGGGTCAACAACCATCATAGTGGAAGCTCCTAAAATGTTGAAGACAACAACTTCTTTGCCTTGTCTCAGAGTTAATTCTGTTTTAGTTAAAGCCGATGATGTTGGCAGGTAAATTTTTTACCAAACATCTATAACAAGAGAGCTTTTTGGTGGAATTTTTTCATTATAAAACTTTAAATGAAAAAGCTCCTTTTATCTCCACAATAGAAACGTTATTTTAGTTTGTTATTTGTGGGGACCTTGTATATGTTGTCTATATACAATTGGTTGAAAACCCATGGATCCACCAAATCTATGAAAGCTTGTTAATTAACAAGCTCTTTGAAAAAGATCATCCAATAACTTCTTCAATTTTCTTGAATTTTTTTTTTACATGAAAAAGCTCCTATTGTGATGTTTTTATTAACTAGTTATTTGGTTTCATTTCATACCTTTTTTAGTAAATATCATATATGCTTAATAAATTTGGAACCAGTTAAAAGGGTGAAGGCTATCTTTAATTAATATACACTAACAGAGACAATGGTGCGTTTAAAGAGAAACTTATTAATTTCATGAACAAAAGTTGATCTATATTATAGCAAAATTTTTTGAAGGTTGTGTTCAAAGTAAAAAACTGATTTTGATATTTCCATTTCTAAACTATACTTAAGAGTATTACTTTGATGGAAGATCATAGACACATCCTCAAGATTATAGTTTTTGATTAAAGTAAAAAAGTAAGAATACACATTTGATATATAAGAAATAAGGAATATTATCACCATAACTATAGCATGCCACCGATGTTATCTTGTTTAATGCACCTTGTGTGCAAGATTTTATTAAGGCATTGTATTTTTATTTTTTTTCGAATTTACCATTTATAGCATCGTACTTTCAATTTTTCTTTTTGTTTTTTAGATATTATTCTTTGAAAATTTTATCAACTACTTTGTAATTTGTAGAGATTGATCCTTCGCTCACAACTCACATGGGAGGGACAATGAGTTTTTAACATCATTATAAATGGTGATAACATGTTTCAAGAGATTAATATTGTCAAAATGAGTGGAGATATTAATAGTGCTCTTGTGCTAACAGTCCATGTTAGCAGGAGGAGTTTGACAATAATTTTGCAGCTTGTAAAAGGTAGTCATACCAGTCATATCATAATCAGTGCCATAGAGACCATAGAGATCTTTGAAATTGTTAGAGCCGAGGCCAATACTTCAATTGATTAAGGTACTTTTAAAACATTTCTTGGAATTTGAAGCTTTGAAAAGGATTCTTATGAAGTAAAAATTATTTTTTTATGTTGTAGTAAAAGCTTTGCAGAAATTGAAGAGTTCTTTTCAGTTGGAATGGCGATCCATGTGTTCCACAGCAGCATCCATGGAGTGGGATTGGGTGATGAATAAGGCTAGAATGCACAGCCGGAATGGGCTAGAATGTAATCAGGAATGGATTGCAGGAATGGGGGATGTGACATCAAGTACAATTGTTTATGGTGTATTAGATTCTTTTATGTGATGGTTTTAATACTATAGATAGGATACATATAGAGTACAGTTAAATTACAGGTAATTGCTGGTTGTTAATACTAAGTAATGGGATTTAACATTTAACTTAGGTAAGGTATAATTTAATGTAACAATGTGATTCGATGAATTGAACATTGATTTACTCATGCACAAATAAGGCCTTTGGAAACATAAAGTGTATATTATTATATACTCATAAAGAAAAGAAAGGTATATGGATGGATAATCCTTCTAGCACTATATTTCCTAGAAAATTTGTCCATCCTAAGTATATTTGTCAAATGTGTATAAAAAAATAATAATTTATTAAATGTGTACAACTGCAAAACTTCATTACTCTCACCAGTTTAATTGTCGACGGTGAAGTCGTCAGAAACCAAGGTAACCTTTAATTACAGATCATAATGGTACTTTTTTTAATACTTTAAGTAAGTTTAATGGTCACACGTGTACAAAAAAAACTGACCAAATGTGAACAAATGTGATAGATGGTTACCCTCATAAGACATTTTCCCTTTTTATTATATACTCTTAATGGTTATTATTATTATTTTTGTTAAAAAAAAAAAAAAAACTTTCTTAAATATAATTAGAAAATATGAACTTTTTATGATGCCTTATTTCACAAAACACTGGAAAATGGCCACCCATGGTGTTGGTGGCAATTTTATTGATAACTGAGACTTAAAAACCCGTGCCAAATACAAAAATTAAACATGGTTTTACATGACTATCTATGTTCGTCTTTTTTGCAAATTTGCAATGAACACCACCACCTTCACATAAACCCAATCTTCAAAGCTATCAAGAAACATAAAAAAAGCAAATCTTCCACGACGGTTGACAAGCAAAGCACCACATGCTATGCAAAATCCAACTATGAAACCAATGGCCCCACCAACATAGAACCAACCTTGAAGTTCGTCTATACCTTCACCCTCACTTTCACCAATGCTATGTTGTATTCCCGATTCTTCGTCTCCATGACATTTTTTGGTAAGGGGAGGTCCACAAAGCCCTAAGTTCCCTTCGTATCTTGAAGGGTCAAAGGTCTGAAGTTGTGTGCTGGATGGGATTCTCCCTGACAAGCTATTATCTGAGACGTCTAGGTAATTTAGCCAAGTCATTTGAGACATGCTTGATGGTATTTCTCCTGAAAACTTGTTTCTAGATAAATCCAAAGTTAAAAGGTTTTTCATCTGACCGATTTTCCATGGAATCTTTCCAAGTAGAGCGTTTTTAGATAAGTTGAGTGCAATCAGTTGATCAAGATTGGTAATCTGATATGGGATTTCCCCTGTTAAGCTGTTGCTTGACAGGTCGATGCTCCTCAACAATACCATATTACTTCTGATGAATTCCCGTTCGGTTCCTTGCCACTGGATCATCACATGGTCAATATTATATGAATATGTTCCTAATGAAACTCCACGATCTAAATTCTGTAGTTGAGAGAATCCTTGTTGCACCATGATCGTAAGATTACTCAAACATAAGGGGATGCTTCCATGGAAATGGTTCACTGACAAGTCTAGAATTTGAAGACTTGCTAATTGACATAATTGTAAAGGGATGCTTCCAGAGAAGTTGTTTGATCTTAACATAAGAACATACAACCCAGATAAGCTTTCCCCAATCCAAACAGGCAAATTACCAGAAAACTTGTTGGCCCCCAAATTCAATGACTTTAAGCTCGTGCAATTCTTAACAGACAAAGGAAATTCTTCGGAGAAATCATTCTTGTATAAATCCAATGCCTCTAGCTTAATCATAGATCCAAGAGAGGCAGGAAGCCTTCCAGAAAGATTATTGTGTTCTAAATTAAGAACTTGTAGTTCTTTGAAATGCCACAAACAATCTGGAAGTTGTCCGGTTAGAAAGTTATGAGAGAGGTCAAGAATAACTAAAAAGCCATGGACAACCTGGCATAAGAAGGTGATTCCTCCAGAAAATTTGTTTCTGGAAAGATTTAGTAATGCCACAGTGGAAGAGACATTAGTTATTGGACCATCAAAGCTGTTGAAGCTTAAATCTATCACTGAATTGTTATAAAAATTTGATGACAGATCTGGTATTTTCCCGCTTATGTTGTTGGAAGAAAGATTCAGGAATGTTAACCGGGAAGGCCATGAGTCCCAAAACTCGAGAGGAATTGTATCTGAAAAACCATTATTTGCAATTTCAAGATTGGTGAGATTTTTCAATTTTTGAATCCATTTGGGGAAGTGAGGCCCTAGTTTGCAAGAGCTTAGTTGAATAGATTCTATATGAGAACGGTTTGACATGTAATCTGAGGAAGGAAATTCTTGGAGTGAGTTTTCGGAAAGATCAAGATATTTAAGGTTGGGCAGTTCCCACAGTTTCTTACTTATAGTTCCTTTTAACTGATTCTCAGAGAGGTACAGATCTGTTAGGGATGTGAACTTTTGGATGTCATCAGGCAATGACCCTGTAAATTGGCTTCCTGAAGCATACAACCTTTGTAATGAAAGTGATGTGCATCCAGACAAGTTGTTGAGAAAATCAGGAAATTTGATAACACCAGAGTTGTTATAGAAGTAAAAACGTTCCAGACTACAGAGGTTACCAAGATATTTGGGTATCCCATCTAACATGTTGCCAGAGAGAGAAAGAATCCAAAGGTTATTGCTGGTCAATGGGAACAACCAACGATACATGGATGAGGTGAGATTGTTGTTTCTGAGATAAAGGACTTCAATAGATGAGGAAGAAGAGTTGAGAAATGAAGAAGAATATGGATACATGACCTGTGACAGCTCACATCCTGATAAACTTAAAAGCCAGAGTTTCGGGAGACTGAGAATAACATCTACCCAATGATTTGTTTTGGCCAGTGAAATCCTATCCATTGCAAGTTCCTCCAGATGAGATAGAGGAGACAACCACTCAAGATTCTCAACTCTACACCTTCCAACCTCAAAAAGGTAAAGCACTTGCAAGTTGGTGAGGTTTCCCAACTCTGGAGGAATGGTTCCATAAAGAGAATTAGATGAAAGGTCAAGGTATTTTAATTCTGTCAAGGAACCAATGGACCTGGGAATGGTTCCATAAAGAGAATTAGATGAAAGGTCAAGGCCTCTTAATTGGGTCAAGGAACCAATGGACCTGGGAATGGTTCCATTAAGATTATTGTAGCCAAGGTCAAGGTACCTTAATTGAGTCAAGGAACCAATGATCGCAGGAATGGTTCCATGAAAAGAATTTGCAGAAAGATCAAGAAGATTCAAGTAGGTTAAGTTAACCAATGAATGGCTAATCTCACCTACAAGACCACAGGACACAATTTCAAGCTCTGTGACATGACCTGTTTGGTTGTTGCATGTCACTCGACTCCATTGACAGCAGTTGTCTTGTTCAGCTGTCCACGTAGAGAGGCGATCATAAGGGTCTTGAAGGAGAGATTTGAAATGAAGGAGAGCATTTTTCTCCTTCTCAAAACACTTATCATCTCCTCCTCCCACTGCTGCCAATTGGTCGGCAGTTGTAGTCTCGAGACAAAACAAGAGAAGTGAGAATATTAAAAAAACACAAGGATGCATGATGTAAAATTGTAAATGCAAATCTTAATTGGTGATGTTTTTTGTTTGTATTGATGAAAATTTGAAGATGCCCCATGCAGCTTTATATAGTGCTGCCAACTGTGAAAATGAAGGATTCAATAATTCTCATGAGAACAGTAGGAACATAATGCTTTTTTCCTTTTTTTTTCATCAGTATGAAAACATTTTTTTAGGCTAAAAAATAATAAACTCTGGAATTTTTTTAATAAAATAAAACACTAAAAAATGAAAAATCAACACCATATTCTTCAATGAAATAAAGTGCTATAAAACACTTCCTATAGCAACATCCATATAGATGTCTATTTTCACATCATAAAAAGATATTTTGGTATATTTGTTTTTATTTTTTGAAAAAAAAAAAATAATGCCCTAATAAATAAAAAGAAAATAAAAACATCAGAATAGAGACTTTGCATATCGACATGGATGTTTATTTGTACAACATAAAAATATATAAATTTGGGTCTTTTGTTTTATTTTTCCCGAAAAGTAATATAACCTTAAAAAATAAAAGATAACAGGGATTAGGCATATTCATCAACAAATGGTTTATTATATCTCATTTTTACAACTATATTCTTTACAAAAAAAAAAAAAAAAAAAAAATACTGAAATTATTATTTTTATGCTCTAAAAAAAGATATCAATATAAAAGGTTCCTACCATTTTTAACAAGAATTATCTTTCTTGCGTTTACACTTTACACACACCTAGTGAGTTGTGATTCGTGTGGAGCATAAAATCCTTATTTTCCTTTGAAATAGAGCCAAAGTATGAAAGAAATTAGAAAAGAATAATTGAAATAAACTGCCCCAAATCAAACGTTCAAAGATTTATACACTCTGTAAGGCATAAAAGCCTTATTTTCCTTGAAATAGAACCATTCAAACTATAAAACAAATTTTTTTAAAAAAAAAAATGGACAATTGTAATGGATAGCTAGCCCCATATAAGACTTTCAAGGACTTTCAAGTCTTGGAAATTTGTATTTTTCCTATACATATCTTTTTTCATCTTATCATATCTTTGGATCCTCACTTTATGTCATTGTAAATCCACAAAAGCAAACTAATCATTCAGGAAAAAGGACAAATGGTGGGTTAGTGCCTGGAAACAACCATATATAGCTAGCTGTCCAGATCAAGTGCTTAATTATTAAGCCTATTAAGTCATAAAGAATCAGCCCCTAATGGCATAAGAGCTGAGTGATAAATGATGAGTCTCCAGAGAATGTATTGGATAAAATAAGGCTAATTATTTATGTATTTTGGATTGAATGAACCATTCGAATAAGAGAAAACGACCATTTTACCCTTTTATCTAAAAGTAATGTAGAATACCAAGTTGTTGTTAATTTGTGAGAACTATTGAAATTTTAAACTAAAAATCACTTTTATATATACGACCATGAGACTTACATATGTTTGTCAAAAACTACCATAACTGTCTTTTGTCAAAACAAACTTGCAGTGTAATCTTACCATTATTTTCTACAGATAGAGCAAATCCTTTTGGCTTTTCCAATGCATTGTTTCCCCAAACAACAAATCAAAATCATAATGCAAACGACTTGTTATATTCAGAAACATTGAATTAAACCCCAATTTAACAAGGATTCATGCCTCTCATACTCCCCTTGG